AAACATATATAAAACGAAATAAAATTTAAAACAAGATACCCATTGATAAATTCTTGTTTGTTCAATTTCTTATCACCACTTGTATCAAGTTTTTTTATTATTTCTTTGGCTCGATGTGTTGGATTTTTATCACCTTGACGATCTTTTACACCAGCACGATCATACTAAAATATGAAATAGTATTTTAAACTTCATGAAAAGAAAGCAACCATACCAAAGCCGAAATAAGATGAGCTAATTCATTTACATCTAAAAGGCCATCATGGGAAACATCCCATCTGAAGAAAATTATTTAAAAAGAAACATATTGTAAAATAAGCTCATATATTACTTACAAATTGAAGATTATATCAAGTCGTTCGTCTATATTTCCAGTGTTATTACCAACAGCAGCAAGTAAAAGAAATTCATTAAAATCAATAGTACCATCATGATTTTTATCAATAGTATCAAATAAACTATATTTGAAGGAAAAATAAAATGAAATAAATTATATTAAAACATTGTATAAATATACTTGGGTGTTAATTTTTTAGAACTTTCAGGAAAAAGTTGTTTATATGTTGCCATAAATGTATCTTTATCCAATTTACCTGTTGGATGTTTACTAACAAAGTCCTGTATAAAAAAAAAATTAATATACATATTATCGTTTAAAATCATATATATTCAACATACGGAATGCCATAATTGAATTTCTATTTAGAATAAGAAGAACAATATCAAGAAAAAAAAATATATCAAACAGTATATCGATTACCTTTAGCACTTAAATGTGACGAATTTCGAATCATGTTGAATTCTGTATAACAAATATATATATTTAGTAGATTGTATAACATATCGTCAAAGCAACAAACCTTTGTCAGTCAAATCTGTTGGTTTTCGTTCCTTTCGAGGTTTTTTTGTATCCATTTATTTGTTTAATAATGTCGAACGAAAATTGAGATCTAAAATAATTACCATTAAATAGTGTATATGTTATTTAGAAAGTTGACCAATCTTCAATGGCTTTCATTCGTTAGAACAAGAACACAACGAAATATTTTTCTTATTTATAATACATACTTATAATTGTGACGAGCACAGGCAACACACTATTATATATTTATATCACAAATTCAGATGAAATCGAATACGAATAGAAGTAACACGTTATGCTTCATTAATCGGATAATGATCAATAAATAACAAATCAAGGAATAGAAACTAATATACACGACACATCAAGGATAAAATAAAACAGAGATACAATCATTGTATATCTCGAAAAAAATATAACCCCCCCTATCACTCGTTTAGAAAAAAAAATGAGTGAAACATAATGAATACCTTTATCAAAAATTGATAACTTTCATCATTGGGTTATTTCTATCATAGTATGCCTAGATTTCAATGTTTTGAGCTGAAACTATGAATAGAGTGCTTTCAATACTTGTTTTTAAACTTGTAAAACCATACGAAATTCAGTTTTAACATCGTTTGAAACGATGACGAAATTTTTAATTTATTTAATTTATTTTTAGTGAAAAAAAATGAAATATTCTAAAAGATAGCCTACTAGTGCGTTAGTTTAGAGGACAATGTACATGTTTTACTCATCTAAATACTTCATCAAAGCCTTCAGTTAAACAGACGATAAACATAATTATTTGAACAGTCTTTGATTGTACGAATCGAAGCTATATATTATACTTATATTTTATCAATAATTAGTTTTTCTTTTTGGTAGATATTTATTGAGTCAGTTATTCACGAATTTTATACTTATCTTATTTTTATAAGAAGCTTTAAGTTTATTTAAGTAGGTAACAATAAAGTTCTCTCCCAACAGACGATACTTTGAAAACAATAAATCCATTAGAAGAGGGTTTGAATATGGGTTTAGTGAACATGTGTTTCTCCTGTAACTTTCAGTACAAACACATCTACACCATTTATGCTCGAAAAATTGAATTGTTTCAATGGTTTTTCAATTGGTTAATATTTTCTTTTTTTTTCATTTTTTTAAACGTTTTTCGTTTCTCAGTCGTTATTTATTGTCCAGAAGATTGCCAAAGAATGAAACTCAAACTCCGTCATGCATTTATCTTCATCGATTGGTGAACTATGATCAATTTCATCTTAAATGATGATTTCAGTAAACTCTTCGATTAATCATGATTGAATTAGATGAAATGCAAAGCAGCGGCGCAGCCAGGATTTTTAGACCAGTGGACAAGCTTTGCTTGTGTCAAACAAAAAGACCAATGGATGAAATGGATACAATTATTGATAGGCTAAAAATGTTGTACCCTACAAAGTACTGATAACGTAGAAAAAAATGACATCAGGTTCTTTTACAGTGCTGGCCAAAAGTACCGACCTCCATGAAGTGCTTCAATATTCCAAGCTGTTGACTTGAAATTTTGCTTGCATGTGTCTAGTGAGAAATGCTGATCATAGACACCGACCCGACATCAATTCAATGTAATAAGATAGAGTTATATATCAAACACTATCTTTACCTTGGATCGCTGATATCTCAACCAAAAAAAAATGATACTTTTCTATCGCTGAACGGTTTAAAGGACATTTTTCTAGTGATAAATATAGCTCCTAATGTGTACATTACCAGGTAGCAAGGACAATTGAATTCAGTGAGATATAAGTGATTGGCGAAGTATACGGTGACAACAAAGTTACATCATCGTATCGTCAGTTTAGTACATGTTGTATTTCTGAAACTTTCTGGAAACATTTATAGAACTCTGAATATGCTAAGAAAAAATTTTCAAGTGAATCAATTAATCTAAAGATGATTTTCATGTTGACGAACTGAAAATCATCATAACTAAAATTCCATCGGCACCTCTTGAGAGAGTGATATCTCAGCAATTTGAAAGACTTTTCTGGTGAAAATTTTATTGGATAAAGCTGAAGAATCAGGCTTTCGAATGATGGGTTCTGCGGCTCCTATAAGGTGGTTGTATGACTTAGATATGAGTAATAGAAGGTAACGATAGTGTGTGATATATAACTCTCTTCTATTACATTAAATTAATGTCGGGTTGGTGTCTACAATCAGCGTTTTTCACTAGACACATGCAGCCAAAATTTCAAGTCAACAACTTGAAATATTGAAGCACTTCAGGGGGGTCAGGGACTTATGGCCAGCACTGTAATTGGTTGTTGGCAATTCTAACTAAACGTGTTGTTAGATTTATTAATAAATGTAAATACCCATAAAAAATATTTCAATGATAATACTATGGAAACTGCAACGTATAATCTTTGAAATAAAACAGAAAGAATAATGTTTACCTGTTCTATTTTCAATTATTATATGTATCACAGCGGATATGAGAATATAGTTAAGTTCGGAGTGCGTGAAGTAATTTTTAAAATGTTCCTAGCAAAATAAATTATAATAGGAATAAAGCTTAATCAACCATGTGAAATAATTCGTTTGCACAAGAGTTTACAAAACAGACTCAAATTAAACAAAAATTTAAAAAATGTTGTTTTTTTTACTCCTCTCTAATTTATTCATAAAAATTGATGTGGTTTCCAGTCTTTTTTTCCATAATTATCAACACTCGCAGCTGAAATGAAGATGTTAAGTGTTAAAAAAAAACGATTTTGTTCATAGCTGTATGTTGTTCAAGTCGAACAAAAATAATCGATGGTTTCAATCAGAGTTCACAGCATTCCAATTGTGGCGTCTCCTCGAAAAAAATACTCAACGATCACAAAAAAATGAGTCTTTCATAAAATAAGTTAATTCTTAGTTCATTTCTAGAAGAGCCGTCAAATATGCTCCTTCACAGGTTAGACATTGGAAAAGTGAAATTCCAGTGTCATTGAATCAAGCATACAAGAAAAATGACTGTATTGACAATCATGGAAGAAAATGAAAACTCTTCGATCGACCTTCTCTTTTTATGACTGGAAGACAGAAAAATAAAGTTCGCAACTTTTTGTGCACAATGTTTGACCACTCGAATTTTTTTCAATTTTTGCTACAGTCATGATTGAAACATTCGTTTTCAAGGCTTTTATTTTTTCTTTATGAGACTTTCATTATAATAGCTTTAAAAAAAACGAAATTGAATTAAAATGAAGAGAAGAATTGAAAGAAAGATGCAGTACTTTGCTTTTTTTGTTATAATGAAATATATTTAAAAAGAAAGGAAGAAAAAGAATATTGAAAGCAAAAGGTTTGCAGTCGAAGCAGACGACATAACTGACTATCAAGATAAGATACCGTTATTACTTTTTACTTAATGGGGTGCGGAAGTAGTTCTGCTGTCGCTACTGCTCCCGTTCAAGCTGGGCCTCAAAATAATATTAATAATCAGCAGACCAGAATACCAAGCGCACGAAATGATGTCGCAAAGCGAAAATCGAGTGCTTCATCTCAGAAAAGCGCTAGGAAAAGTATAACAAGTGCCACATCTCACAAAAGTACTACTATTATTAAACCATCGACTCCACAGAAAAAACCTAAGACTTCTTCACTACATTCGGAGCATGAGATCAATCAATATCTTGTCATTATTTGGGTGGATGCAAATATTGATCAATCAAAAAAAGCATATCATGATTCAGTGACTAAACTTCAACGCATTACATCTGCGGTCTATACATGTACTAATTCTGAACAATGTATAAATTATATTGATAATATTGACGAAAAAAAGATATTTCTGATTGTATCGGATGATTTAGGCGAAGAAATCGTACCTCTGGTACATGATAAACCACAGGTCGACAGTATTTATATATTTAGCCAAGTAAAACGACAAAGATTAACTTGGACAAATAAATGGTCCGAAAAAATAAAACAAATCCTGTTTAATATGAAAGATATTTTTCAAAAGATTAAATTTGACAGTGGACTGGTTGGTAGCTTAACTTCAATTAGTATTATACGTAGAATAGATATCCCAAGCTTAATTGGAAATGAACTAGATCAGTCATATATGTATACACAATTACTCAAAGAGATCCTACTTGAAATGAAACATGATTATGAATCAAAGAGTAAGTTGGTTGAATTTTGTCGAACACAATATGCTGACAATATTCTTCAATTGGGTTTAATCGATGAATTTGAACAAGAATATAATAATGCTTTAGCCATTGAATGGTATACAAAAGAATCATTTCTTTATGTAATGTTAAATCGAGCTTTGCGAAATCAAGATATTGAAACGATCATGAAAATGGGATTCTTTCTACAGGATCTTCATCAACGAATTGCAGACATGCATATTAAACAATCAGAAACTCGTGATAGTAATAGATTTATTGTTTACCGAGGACAGGGTATTATGCCTGATGAAATAGAAAAGATACAAACAAGTCAAGGTGGTCTTCTTTCTTTCAATAGTTTCTTGTCGACGACTCTCGATGAAAAAGTTTCACTTCACTTCGCAGAACAAGCATACAAAAATCCAAATGTTATCGCAGTTTTATTTCACATGGAGATTAATCCTAAGATCTCATCGGTTCCATTTGCTTTTATTGATAAACAGAGTGCATTTAAATACGAGAGTGAAATTCTTTTTTCTATGCATACCGTTTTTCGAATTATGGGCGCTCAAAAACTTAAGGAGAGGTTTTGGCAAGTCAATTTAGCCTCGACAAGTGATAATGATGAACAACTCAAAATGCTTACTGATTATTTTCGAAAAGAGATTGAAGGAAGTACTGCTTGGGAACGATTGGGCCATTTGATGCTTAAAATGGGAGAATTTAGTCAGGCTGAAGAATTATATGCACCACAGCTTGATGCGACAGATGAAAAGAATGGGCGAAATCATGCTCATCTCAATAACCAACTTGGATATATCTACAGTCAGAAAGATGACTATAAAACCGCACTTTCATATTATGAAAAGACACTCAAAGTGGAGCTGGAATTTCTTCCTCCAGACGATTCTTCGCTTGCTGTGACCTATAATAATATAGCAACAGTACAGAATTTAATGGGATACTATTCATCTGCACTTTCGTCGTATGAAAAAGCACTTGAGATAGAAGACAAATCTCTTCCTCCTGATCATTCTACATTAGCTACAACCTACAGCAACATCGGTTTAGTGCATAAAACTTTAGCAGACTTTAAGAGTGCACTTTCATTTTATCAAAAGGCGCTTGAAATTCGAAAAAAAACACTTCCACCTAATCATCCAGATTTTGGAATTATATACAGTAATATTGGCGGACTACATCAAGACATGGGAGACTATTCAGCTGCTCTCAAATTATATCAACAGGCACTTGATCTTCGAGAAAATATCTGCCACCGAAGCATCCAAATTTGGCTACAAGCTACGGTAATTTTGGTTCTATTCACAGTACAATGGGTGACAAATCGAAAGCACTCGAATATTACAAAAAGGCGTGTGAAATTCGAGAATCATCTCTTCCTTCTAATCATCCAGATAAAGCCAACAGCTACAATTGCATTGGTTCAGTATATAATTCGATGGATGATTATTCGAATGCCCTTTCATGGTTTGAAAAAGCACTCGAAATTCAAAAGCAAGCTTTTCCAGAAAACCATCCAGCTTTTGCTAATACTTACAATAACTTTGGTTCGGTTTATAGTTCGATGGGAGAAAAATCAACTGCTCTATCATACTATCAAAAAGCGCTAGAAATTCGAGAACTCTCACTTCCTCCAAACCATCCTGATATAGCTACTAGATACAATAACCTTGGTACAATCTATAGCACTATGAGAGATAAACAAAAAGCTTTATCGTCCTATGAAAAGTCACTCGAAATCGAACGAACTTCTCTTCCTCCAAATCATCCGACGTTTGTTACTACATACAATAATATTGGTTTAGTTCACCAATCAATGAACGATTACTCTACTGCACTTTCTTTTTATCAAAAAGCATACGAAATCTGTGAAACAAATGCTCAACTCAGTGAATCCGATGAAGCAGCTATGACTTATAATAAAATGGGATCAGCGCATCATTCAATGAAACAGTATTCTACTGCTCTATCATTTTTCGAAAAAGCACTTGAAATACAAAGTAAATCTCCTAATCCTAAGATTCGTAATTTGGCTATTACGTACAGTAACATGGGTTTAACCTATCACGAGATGAATGATCATCAAAAGGCACTTTTATATTATGAAAAAGCACTTGAAATTGAACAGAAAATGTTTCCTGACGATCATTGCGATTTGGCTACTTCATACAGTAATATTGGATTAGTATATGATTCGATGAAAGATTATACACAAGCACTTTCATTTCATGAGAAAGCACTTGTTATTCGAAAGAAAAAGATGTCTTCTGATGATTTAACACTTGCTTCAACTTATAACAACATTGCTTCAACATATTATGAAATGGAAGACTACTCGAATGCGATCTCATTGTACAACAAATCACTTCGCATTCGTGAAAAATCTCTCGCTACCAATGATCCAATTCTAGCAACTACCTACAATAATATCGCAGTTGCTTATAAGTTAATGGAAGATCATATCAATGCACTTGCATTTTATGAAAAGTCACTAGCTATTCGAGAACATTCTCTTACAGGTAATGATCCAACATTAGCTGCAATCTATAGTAGCATGGGATCAATATATTATTCAATGAACAATCATTCGAATGCTGTTATGTTTTACAAGAAAGCCATTGCAATTGAAGAGCAGTCGTTAACTCAAGACTATTCATCATTGGCAACGAATTACTACAACATTGCTGTCGCTTATAGTTCAATGAATGATGAATCAAACGCTCTTCTTTTTTATCAAAAGGCGCTTGAAATTCGACTAAACAAGCTTCCAATTGATGATCCATCTTTGGCGAAACTCTATACTAGCATTGCATCTCTACATTATTCGATGAATGATTATCCAAATAGCGTTCAATTTTATAAGAAATCAATTGAGATTCGTGAAAAATCGTCGTCTACAGATGATCTCGAATTAGCAACCAATTATAACAACATTGCTGTTACTTGTAAAGCAATGGATGACCTCACAAATGCTCTGGTATATTATGAAAAAGCACTCGCGATTCGAGCTCAAAGACTTCCACCAAGTGATCCACTATTGGTTCCACTTTATAGCAGTATTGGATCGATACATTCATCAAACGGCAACAAATTAGCTTCGGTTGAATTTTATGAGAAATCACTTAAAATCCAGGAAACATTACCCTCTCCTAATTATTCGTCGATGTCTGTGATGTATTACAATACAGCCATAGCTTATGAAGGTCTTCAAAACTACGAAGCAGCTCTCAAACATGCTGAGCGTTCTGTCGAAACTGCTCGCTTAGCTTTTGGTCCTGACCATTCGGAAGTGAAGGAAAATCAAATGTTGGTGGATAGACTTCGTAATAAACAATGATCGAGGTCTTTTCATACGGAATGAGAAGATTCTTTCCTTACATTTCGCTTTTACTAATGAAAAAAAAATATTTGTCTGTCTAACGAATCGACTAGTTTAATAAAGGTTTAGACACTCTTTGACCTTGTTGCTGTGTATAATTTGCATTCACCTTTTATTGTTCTCAAGGTAGTCAGATGTAGTCTTCTCTGCACAAATTGATGTAACTTAGTCTGTCTGAAATATTTTTTAACCAGAAGACCCACAAAACTATCGAGTAGAACAACAAGAATAGCAAGTACCGAAGAAAAATGACATCTGAGAACTAACAATGCAACGAGAAAAGTTAAATTTAGGAATGAGTTTTTACGTCTTTAGAGTGACGTCTTGGTATGGTATGAGAAACCAATATTTTTGTCATCCATAATTGGAGTGTGAATGTATGGATCAATGTGCGAGTGGAGTATGGTTATGAGTGAAACTTCTTCCGATAAGCATATTTCCATCCCACACTCACAGCCTAACAGGAATGGGAAGACTGATAAAGAACAGCTAGGAGGAGAAGACGAAAGAAGGCAAGAGAAAGGCTGACATAGGCATTATCATTTCCTTTATCAGCTGCAGTGATGATGGTCATAAGTGAGAAAATACACACAATCAGTAAACAAATGACGCTGACTCACTCCTTCATTCCATTCCCGAAATAACAACAACAAATTCACTTCATCTCTGATCTTATACAATAGCAATTCAAGCATCAGTGAGCAACCAAACGGAATTGCTAACACTTATCGGATAGCAATCCTCAACTGCCTGGATACCAGTTATACTGACTAGATACCTCTGATCCGTTTGTTTTTCACAAAAAGAGTAGTTCCTTCGAGCCTCTATCATCTTTGGTTGTTTATTTGTTCGTTTCTTGGGTAGTAGTAGAGAGCAAGAAGTCTTTTCTGTCCACCAATCTTCTCTTTGAGATTTGTATGTTTCGAGAATCAACAGCTCATTCATTCATGAGTTTTTTATTTATTTTTTATACTCAGTTGTGTTTTTCTTTGCAGGTCCTGAGAAACAACATGTACCAGCTAATATATCGACACATTAGATCTTGCTTAACTGAGTCAAAAAAAACGGAGATGATTAGTTGAAAAAATTATCAAAAGAACTTGTAAATTACATAATAAATTATGACAAAAATCGTTGATTAGACAAGATATGATGAACAATTGGGATTCGCGGGAAAACTCAACGGAAATAAAATTCTCTTGATCAGCAAATAATGGTTGTTTCACAATCTGGAGTCGACTTTCATTTTCTCTCTGTCATTGATTTTTAAATAATTTTTTCCTGTCGAACTAAAAGAAGATTTACTTGCTTTTTATAATTGAAATCGAAGGTGCTCCAGCAAGGGTTCGTTCATAAATAGTTTATTTTAGATAGGCATTTAGGATTCTATAGCATGAATGAAAGTATCATCTAGATGATGAAAATCATCAGAATCGACATATCTTCATTTTTGAGTGACGATATCTAAATGAAGGATAATATCGTGGGTAGGCATATGAATGAGGTTGTTTCCAAAAACATCCTATGCAAAAAATGTCAGTTTATGATTAAACACAAGTCTCACATTAACCAACCCATAATGATATCAAACAGTCACAAGATTTTGGTTCTATTAATTCAAAGAATGTTTTGAATTTTCATTTCTCTTAACAATATAATACGGACTTCATTTGCAACGAAGCAATAAAAGATATCATTAGTGATTTTTTTCGTTCTATTTCTTTTCAAAAGGCAAACAATAACTGCTAGAAATGGAAAAGAGCAAATGAATGTCTTCATATGATTATCATACATTCAAGTGTATTACATTAAAATGCAAAATTTTGTTTCTTGACTATAATATTATTATTATTGTTCAAGTTCTTCTACTGAAAATTATAAATTTTGTATTTGATATTTAGTGTCGTCTACCACATGTGCAAGGAACAGTTGTGCTTGCTTCCAAATTCAACTCTTCAGCGATGAAACTCAGCCGCTGTGATTCATTTTTGACATCGCTTTCACGTGTTGTCTGCCTCGCATCTCAGTGGCGCCTGCTCGGATCTTAGCTGATTCATGATCTCATCAACACCATTTTCCATGAGAAGCCTCAGGTACATTCGAATAACGTTCCTTTCAGCCACACTAAAGTTACCATCGTTACTACTGCGTGTACCACCTATCGAAAAACCATCGTGGAGAAGTTTTTGGAATATATACTTGAATTGGGCTGTACAATAGTGAATCATACCGTTAAAAATACAATTTAGGTGCCGATAGCCATCGTTGTTCACAGTAGCGCTCTTCATAATCTCTTGAAATTTAATATAAACATAGTGATCCATATCATGATCCTTCAACTCAATAGATGGATTTGCCTTGAGAATGGACAGATACTCATCACAACACTGTCGAGCATAGTGAACAATATATTGTTTGGCCTGTGTCATGGAGCCAGTCAGAGGCATTTCTTGAACATATTTTTGAATAGCATCAGTCGGAGTCAATTCATACACAGCTGCAATTTGCTGAGCGATGCCTAGAAACACGACACATGTTGCCTGTGTGCAAAATTCAACGAAAGGCGATGAAGAATCAAAGAAATTCGGCATTGATTGAGCCATACTTGTAGCGTTGCAAGATAATATTATAAATCAACACAATGATAACTATTTTTATAGGCAAAAAGCTGATACATAATTTCAACTGTAATGTCTATTGGTTGTGCAATTACATACGTTGAGAGGAAGAGTGATGAAATATACGTAGGGGGTGTTCATAAGTAACGATCCCATTTTTATTTTTTTCTTATCTTTACTATATTTCAAGGTGAATAGTCATCGACGATATAGTTTTGAAGAGTAGCATCTAATCTATCATTGAAGAGGAATGGCACTCAATTTGTAGCAACTCTAAGAAAGTGCTGCATTTGTGAAAATATTGAAAAAATTTTATCAAGTTTTTTTTTTTAAATTTTTCTTCTAAAAGAATGACATTTTTAGTATATTGTGAATATTCCTCTCAACTTTTGATGTTTTGACTTGAATTTTTTTCAAAAGATAGTCTGTAAAATTCTCTACAAAATCTAATAAAAACAGCTGTTTCGATAGATTACTTAGGATGGCTTGAAACTTGGTTAGGGTCAAATCATTAGTTTTGTGGAAAAAAAACTGTATTAGCGATAATGGACTCTTTTTGGAATGTAGTACTGTTGATCAGATACGCGTTTCCAATTATTGTTTTGGCGAGCTGTTTCTTTTTTGGATTTTGTGAAGAATTTTACAAGCTATCTTTTGGAAAAAAATTCAACTCAAAGCATCAAAAGTTAAGAGAAATATTCACAACATACTGACAAGTCTTACAGTTGCTGCAAATTGAGTGCCATTCCCCTTAAATAATGACTTAGATGCTATTCTTAAAAACTATATCGTCAATGACTATTCTCTTTGAAATATGGCAAAGATAAGAAAAAATAAAAATGGGGTCGTTACGTATGAAACCCCCTTTAATCAATTTACTTAAACAATAGAAACTCATCTCTCTCTTTCAATTTTCTCCCTCTTCTCGTCCGAAACAAATAATAAAATTTAGCTCCTCGATTTTTTATTGAAACCGTCTCAACAAAATGCATTGTGCTAAAAAAAAGCACCATCCTGGATCATAATTATGCATTTGCTATAATCAGTTTTCTTTTCATATCTTTTATAGTAAAAAAACGAGTTGATTTTCATTTTTCGCACAGAAAAATTTCTGTTCTGACACAATGGAACACGAGTATACCGATCTCATTCCAATTTGAAACTTCTGTCTCATTGCTTCTTGATGAGTTTTTGGCAGCAAAAGAATTAGAGGAATAAGCTGGGCAAGATGTGAAAAATTATAGACAAAATAACATATTCATAATACTAATGTCGATAACGATTTCACCGCTCTTAGCCATTTTAGTTTCCCAAGACGCCTGTAAATGCTCTATATACATTTTTTCCCATTCATGAAGATATGTGGTGGCGCTAAAATCATTTTCAAGTCTTGAGAAAATACAATAGCAGTGCATCTTAAACATATGTCTAGTGTGTCGGTATAGAGCATAAGAATGCTATTATTTATTTATTTATCATTTTTCTTGACCTTGTTTTGATCAAGTTTGAAAACACGATTCATTGGATGTTTTACAACAAAATCGGGTTCCCTTCTCGGAAAATATTCGTGAAATCGATCTAGAGAACCTTTAGGATGTCTTAATATCCACTTGAGTGATGAAAAAAGATTTTTTTGTGGTAATAAAACGTTCGTTAAATAGATTGTATATGATGATGGTGAATCTTCGTGAACATAATCAACTTGAAATAATGTCCAGGGTAATACTAAAACTTCATGTTCATCTTCAAAATCAGATAGACACGGTTGTGTGTCAGATATTCGACTTAAATTTATTGCTTGATCACATTCTACAGGAAAATTGAATATGAATAGAACACGATTTTTTCGCATATTGTCAGGAGTTTCAATTGCTGCATCTGCAAAATCTTCAGCAACAGAGCGATTTTGAGAAGTTGAAGAAAAATGTTTAGTTTGCAAAAGACTTCCACGATTATGAATGGCCCATTCATATGTTGCAATTTCATCATCAGTCATTTTTGCACCACGATATGATAGTCCTTTGAAATATCGATCTCTTAATGTTTGTAATTCTATATACAAAGGTAATGCTAATGGCATTGGATTTTGTCTTAGAGATGAATAAAATTTTGTTTCCAATGTGTACAAACGTATGAGATATTTAATATGATCATCAGAATTATTTGTTAAAAATTTATTCAATAATTCATTTGCTATAGATGATTGTGGATCTTGGTTAGCTATGAGTTCTCGATCAATTATATCTTGAAGTCGAATACCAATGCCATTCAATGACATTGGTGCTTCACGATTGAATTTATCAGCAATAAATCTTCCCAGTTTTGATTGACACATAGCTATTGATGTAGTAGCATAACCTATTTCAAGTTGTTTTTCAGCTTTTGTTTGGTAAGTTTGAATCGATGACAACCTTTTTGTTTCAGACGGTAATGTCGTAATGGAAGCAACAGTTTCTCTTTTCTACAAAAAAAATACGTAATTAGATTTTCATAACAGATTCATATAAAGAAATAGGAACAGATGTGTTGTGCTCACTGATACTAGTAACAAAAATTAATCCTTCTGTAGCAAGCGTCTGAACTCGAATATCTTACTCAATCTTCTAATCGTGTTGACCTTATCAAGACTTACGTCTTCTTTGGGTCGTCGAACAACATCGAAACAATCATCTATACATTCATCTTGAAAACGTTGACTACAATCGAGAATTTGTGGTCGTTTGAATAATTGTCGAATATCATCATTGGCAGCTTCTTCGTAAGCAGTTAAGCCATGTCGATTTATTTTTGATCGATCACATCCATTTTCTAACAATAGTTTAACTATTTCTTTGTGACCATAGTAACAAGCAGCATGTAATGGTGTACTATTAATATCTGGTTCCAAAGGATTTATATCATATTTTGCTTGTTTGAGAGTTAACAAATACTTTTTAACAAGATCTATATCACCATTTCGACATGCAAGATAGATTTTACTGACTTCAGATGGTTGTTTAGTAGTTGACACAGAATCCATTCGGTAATATTCCTAGAAAATAAATCAAATTAGATTTGAAAATTTAATTAGATATTAACAAGAAAAAAAACAATCACTAATTCCGAAAGAAAAAATATTTTATGACATATATTAGTTCATATATATTGCAGCATGTGAGTTAATTCAATGACATCATCTTAATGATATGAATATGATTCATTGAATGAATTTTCAGCACGAAAATTTAGCAAGTACGAGACCAAATCGTTTCTCAAAATATCCACAAGTTTATTTGACGTCGTTTGAAATCAAGAAATGTTTTTCTCCTATTCCTTCACAATTTTTTGTCAATTATTACTTTTGCATTAGTATAGTCATGGATGAATAAATAATTTCATAACTTATTTCTCACCGTCTTTCACGTGCTCTGCTTTCTTTCACTTACGAAAAATTACTGTATTGCACTTATTTATCCTTTTCTATCAATAGTAGAACAGAATAAGTCATATTTTTTTCCTTTTTCATCTCAATACGTTGACTCATGGTATACTCCCCATTGCTCTGTACATACCCAAATGTTTGCATCTCTTAGTTGCAGAGGCGAATCACGACTGTTTGAGTTTTATATAATGACATTTTCGTTTTAGATAAACGCCTAAGAATCATCATGCTATTCAATAAGGGGCTTTTGTATATCGAAAAAAATCAATCTTTCAATGAAGAATATAAACTCAATGTCATCAAAAGTACATGATTCTAGATGAAAATAAGATATATTTGAGTTGACACAAACGGAAATCGTATGCATATCATAAAAAACATGTTCATCACGAGGAGCAGCTACAAATATATTTTATTTTTTATCCAGCCATCAAATACAACAAAGTCTCTTATGTATGTCTAGAAGTTTGCACATAATCATGAAAAAAAAAGTCTTTCCTTTTGTTAAATGGGTGATTCCATGGGGTTTATACCACTTTATGGAAGAGATCTTAGATTTTCATTTTCAACTTCTTGTTTATTCGAACACAGTCTGAAAAGAATTGAGTAAAATAAAAATTACGAATGTGTCCCATCCACTTCGAGCACTCATCAAAAAAACGAGGTACATGTATAAATAATGTATTGTAATCGGATTTCGTTCCATATATATTGCTGCTCGATTGTAAACAAATTTCGATAATTTATCTAGCTTTGATACTTCGAAAAAGGTCAAGAATAGACAGATTTTGAAATCTATCAACTACAGTCAAATATATATAAACTCTCACAATAAAATTCATCGTTGATTTTTCACTGAATATACATGGAAAGAATTTTTTCTTTTTCCATGATAAACGAACTGAGATAAAAAAGAAAGTGCATCTTTGTTCTATTTTAGCTGTAAATAACTGCTCTTTTGTATATATTTCAGATGAGATCTGCTCAAACTCCATTTTCTATAGGAACAGTAAGCTGATTCACTGAACTAATTTTTCATATGATCATAGTGACACTTAGAGTTGTAGGATACTTCATACAAAATTATGATATTTTCTCATAGAATAGTAAGTGTGTTTTATAGAGGCAGTATTGCTAAACAAACAACATTTATCATTGGACATTAGTTGAACAAATAAAAACGTTAACTAAAACTTCTCTTCGTGTGACACTTAGTTTTTCAATCTTTCTGATAACTTTTAACATTTGTTTCAGATATCATGCCACGATCTAAACCGTGTCAGCATATCTTCGCCATGTGGATGCCGTGAATTTACCGAAGGAATGTCATCCAGTTTCATCTAAATTATTAAAGTTCATGCGCGAGCGTGATGAAATACCAAACTTGAATGTGCGTTGGTTGTGTCCGAATTGTTTCACATTCGAGACAAAAGAAACCCAATTGGAGGATTTGGAAGAAAGAGAAAATATTGAAAGTGAAGAACATGACAGCGACAACAAAATCAATGAAGAAAACTTTTCATTCCAATCGGATTGTCTAACTAGTTCTAGTTCCCAAGAAAGTTCTAGGTCGAGTGCCGATTTATACGAGCTCACCCAGGTGAAAAAATCATACACAGATCATATAAGATCTTACAAGATCGTACTGACGTCGGATGTTGTAAGATTCATACTGTATGATCTTATGCAATCATACAAATATCTTAGTCTAAGATTCTTGCAAAATCTGATGATCGGAATCTTGTAAGATCTTATATGATCTTATAAGTTCATAATTTAGATTTGTCTTATGTAAATAGTTTTTATAACAATAGTCTCACGTATTTAAATATTATTTTTATTCAGAGTAGGGGTGTCATTTACCATTTAATTTATAATAAATATAAATTATGAGAAATTTATGTTTATTATAAATGTAAATTGACACCCCTAATTCAGAGGTTCTTCTCTGAGAAATGGATCAAATAAACTTTCAATGATGGAGAAGAGAGAACTGTTCGATTTAAGCATTGAAAGAAGGAAGTCAAACCCTTGAGAAATTTCTATTCTTCCACTATCTGTCCAGCTCGAAGAAGCCTACACAAATCCATACACTTGTTTCAACTAGGCGTACATTTTAAGAGTTTTTTGTATATGCCAAAGTACTGAAGAATGATTGACATAAATCAATATTTAAGTTTCGATTCATTTGAGAAAGATAAGTCCGAAAATAATCTTAGTTAGTGATTCTTATTCTTCAATTGGAACTGAACTTGAATTAGTTTCAATCCGCCGATCTCACATATCACTCTTTTTCTCTGATACTTCAAAGGACATGTAATTAATCATTACTACCATTTCATTTATTGATTTATTTTTCTCGAAAAAATCTCAAAAAGCAACAACAAACACATAAAGATCAACAACAAGAAAAATGACTCATCATCCAAAAATGACAATTAAAATTGTAGCTTTTAGAGTATTTTGTTTTACATATATATATATTTATCATAAGCTGGTCTAATTACTCATATGTATCAATAAAACACATTTGAAAGGAAAATAAACCAACCCATTAAAAGCACTAAATATAGAGTGCGGAAGAGTACAAGAAAACCAATCATTAAAAATAAATGCAATTCAAGAAAGTATGTGTTCAATTTAAATTATATTTTATTTTTATTTTAGATGATGTCATAGACCAATCCGAAAAAAAAAAGTATTGATTCAATGTAAATTGTCTTTTTATTTTTATTTTAGACAATATCGACCATTAAACCAAATAAAGTAAGCATCTTTTTAATTTA